TCTCAAAAAAAAAAAAAAATGTGTAATGGCAGCAGAAGGAAAAATACAAGGTTTGATCTAAGCAAGAGGTGTCAGAACTAGCAACTAGTTTGGGAAGAGATGAGTGGATAATGATGCTGAGTTTCTAAGTTTGGAACACTAAGTACTATAAGAAACTGAAGAAGGAGTTGTAGAAAAGACAGATGATTAGAGGACTCAGGACAGAGCACAGAGCCTTGGAAACGATGTATAATATAAAGTGATTGAGGGAACACTCTGTAAAGGCAGGTGAGAAGACAGCCAAAGTACAGAGCAGTGTCATGAAAGGCAAGGAATGAGAAAGTTTTAATAAATGTGAACACTTAGTATTGTGTAGATTTCTAGGCATACGAGCACTGATGAAGGATTTGCTAACAAGGCCTTAATATACTTTGGAAAAAAACAGATTCTTCACCTGGATCATCCCAAACTGTTCTTTTAAAAAGGAAAAAAAAAAAAAACAGATTCGGTATAATGCAGAACCAGGTAGATAAATTTCAAAGAGTAAAAGGTTGTGTGTAGAAGGCCGAGAAGTGGTAACTTTTGCGATACTTAAGTCAAGCACTTTAATAGATAAGTTGTATTATTTATATCTGACTCTCACAAGTAACCTTCACAAGTTATATGCATCAACAGGGTGTTAACTTTCTTTTGCACAACAGGATACAACACTGTAAACAAATGAGGTGCCATAACTAAAAGCAAGACTTAACTAGAAAGTATTCTTGATTTAAAAAGGGTTCGTATTTGGAGGAGTGGTTAGAGATAATTGAGAAAATGTTTTTGGAGAAGGCTTTTTGTGGATCTCACTCCCACCATCTTCCACCACTGTATCTGATGTGTTTGGGGATAGCTACAGCTGGATTCCTTAGAAAGTAACACCATGGACTGTGGACCTATAGACTCATACATTGATAGCTGAACTCAAGAAGCACTGTGTGTGTGTGTGTGTGTGTGTGTGTGTGTGTGTGTGTGTGTGTGTGTGT